CCCCCCCCCCAAAAAAAAAATTCCTAAAAGCAGAGGCCCTGCAGAAAAAAATGCTAGTTTAAATGTTTTATGTTGCACGATATTTACAGAAATGTTTATCAAACCAGTATTTTTTAGGATAAAAAAATTAATTTTAGTGCACACAAAAAGAATACCCATTTTTTTTGTAAAATCTAAAAGATGGGTTTGTGTTGGTTAAATAGATACCAAACATGTCAAGTCTTACAACTGTGTGAGTCTGTGAAATGGCAAAAAAATTACGGTACTCAAATTGCCCATAGGTGACACTCTAAAAACCTTTACCTTTAACAGTGAGTGATAGTACTAGAATTATGCATTATGTAACATGTGGCACGACAGTCGTGTTTGCACCTCTGTGCGCACACACACACGCACGCACGCACGCACACAGATTTTATATATATATATATAAAAAGTTTGTAAGCTCTTGCTGGCAGGACCTTGCTAAACATCTTATCTTGAATTGTATTGTAACTGTACTGTCTGGCCTACACAGACAGTGCGCCAAGCCAAACTGACGCCTTAGGGTCACTACACACGTTACAATCGGACCATACAATTTTTGTACAATCAATTTCAGACTTACGAATTCTATGTAATAGGAGGACCTGCCTAATCCATCCAATCAATCTGCGTCCAACCAGGCAGCTCCTTGCACTACATACTTATTAGTAGATCTAAAGGAGATTGTACTATCAATCTGATAGTACAATCTCCTTTAGATCTACCAACAACTATATAGTGCAAGGACCTGCCTTATTGGATGCAGATTGAATGGATTAGGTAGGTGCTCCTAGTGCATAGATTAAGTCAATTTAAAATTGATTGTACAAACATTGTATGGTCAGATTATAAATTGTGTGGTGACCCTAGGGCATCAGTTTGGCTTGGCGCACTGTCTGTGTAGGCTAGACCAGTGGTTCTCAACCTGTGTAACCTCGGGACCCACATGTTTCCTTGGTCATTAAGGCGTGACCCAAAAATGATTTCATTTCTGAAACATTTTAATTTATTACACAAAACAACTTGTGCAGTATTCAGCAATATATATTTTGCTGAAAGTAAATGAATTAAAAAAAAATTAAAATGACCCACGAGTTGAGAACCACTGGGCTAGACAATAAAGTTACAATACATTTCAAGATACAGTTGTGCTCGTTGTTATGCAGAACACTTTGTTACTTTGACATCTGGATGAATAAAAGTGGGCAAAAAGCCCTAAAATGCATTTGTAGATTTGACTGTGTCCTTGGAAAACACTCCATAACAAGCTAAATCTCACAATAAGTAGAGAATGTGAATGGCAAAAGTGGAGTTTTCTGTGCGTGAAGCCTGCTGAACTCCGCTGTGAAGAAGCTTTCTTCTGATGAACTCAGCATGCATTTTGTGACACGTACCATTGAAAGACAGGTGACAGGTGTATGTCTGCAACGTTTAAAGGGACAGTGCCCTAACCTTGAGAACTGTGAAACGTTTGTCTTAGCAGCACCTGCAGTGATCATTGTTATGCTAAGCAACCCCTGTGTGGGCAGAACACTGTGTTCCTTTGACATTTGGATGAATAGTAGTGGGCATAAAACCGTAAAACGCATTGTGCTGATTAGACTGAGTCCTTGGAAAAATCTCCATTTGAAGCTTTATCTAACAATTTATAAATATGATTCAGAGAATAATGTTTGTTTTCTCCTATAGCAGTCATCTTCTGCTAGTTGCACTAAGCAAATTCAGGTACATTATTCTACTCCTATCCTATATCCTAGTATTAAAAGAATATTGCAACTTCACATCTAGTCAATGGAGAATTCAGCCTTCAGTCCTGAATTTAGCTGAACAGAGTATGCTCCTCAACCACCGCACACGCAATGGTCGCTACATAATATCTTGGCCCCAGCCCACGCACTAGCAATGGGATAATTCTTTGAGTACCCAGATTTCACATCAATAATGTGTATACAATAGGCTGTCATTAGCTAGCCTCCATAGTACATGTATAGTGGCCAGTCCTTAGAATATGTACATCTC